GCAAGAAGAACAAAGTGAGAGAGTACAACATCAGCATAAAGTACAAATGGAAAAGATTAGTACATTTCAAAGTTAATTAAATACATTAAAGGACGATTTACTGTCTTTTACAAGGGAAGATAAATTAGCCATGAACCTAATAAGCCCCTTCCAGACCTTGCAGCTAAATCCTAATGCAGACATCTTCAGTCCTGCCAGAAGTCACATTCCAGACATGAATGTCAGCAATAGGGGTGATCTAGTACGAAGGAAGTCACAGGAATTCGATGGGAAGGCACCATGGGAAGCATATAGAGCACAATTTGAGCTCTTGGCAGAAATGAATGGATGGACATAAGAGCAGAAAGCAGTGTACCTGGCAACGAGCCTGAAGGGACAACCATGGAAATACTTGGAAAGTTGTCAGCAGATAACAGGCACAACTATAGAGCACAGGTAGATGCTCTAGAAATCAGGTATGGAACTCAAAATCAGTTCCAAGTCTACAGGGCTAGGTTTAGGATTAGAGTCCATGCTAAAGCGAAGAGCCTGCAAGAGCTGGCACAGGAGTTGGAAAGTATGGCACACAAGGCTTACCCAACTGCACCACATGATGTCCTCAAGCTGTTGCTGAGGGATCAGATTGTAGACGCCTTGGACAGTCCACAACTGAAGATACAAGTGAAGCAAGCACACCCTTCTACTATACAAGATGCAATGGCCAGAGCTCTTGGATTCGAATGCTACGTTAAGTCCAGCACAGAGGTACCAAGATTGGTACATCATCATGATTTAAGGCCAGAATAGGGCAGCTTTCAGAGAAGTTGGCACTGTAACAAACCTGGGCACAATGAGCTCAATGCCGGCAACTTCAACACAAGGAAGATACCATGGCAGGAAAGGCTGCTACACAGAAAGGTTGTTGGAACTGTGGAGAGCAAGGACATATGAAGAGCCAGTGTAAGAAGAATACTACCAATAAGTCAACCTCGGAAAAAAACCAGTAGTGGTTGGTGTTCAGGGATGCCGACAACCCCTATCGTGAAAGTCCCAACAGCTAAGTGTAAAATGGTAAGCACACATAGTGTCTATGTGACAGGAAAGCTGGATGGCCAAAAGTGCAACTTTATCACAGATTTTGCATCTCAGCAAATCCTTATGAGTATCAAGGTGCTAGATCACAAAGGAGTACCAGAAGCCATATAGAAGCTTTGTGGTGTGACAGGACAGTATGCAAGGCTGTGGGGACCAGTGTGGGTAACTAGTGAGCTCATGGGCATGAAGAACAGACAGAAAGTATACTTGGCTGACATTGAAGACCAATGCATATTAGGGTTGGACTACTTATTACCGAGGAAGTGTGTGTAGTTATCTTTGATAAAATGACGTTTGGGAACAACAAAGGCCAAATTTCGGTAAATGTTGCTGCTTCTGTTGATTTGCATGTCGCAGAAGATAATTTGGGGTAGAATAAAAGTAAGCCCAATGCTTGTGGAAGCAGTGGACGACCCATCCAGGCCAGCAGACATGAAGATTGGAAGGTCACTTGTGGCAGGACATCAAGT